CAGATAGCTTTTCATCATGATATTCTGCCCTAATCTGATCATTTAGCTCTTCAAATGGTACACCTTACCATCACTGCAACTGAGTCCATTCACCCAGCATTAGAACTTTTCCCAGAGAGCTAGAATTGATTTCAATGATTTACTGGGGTTTTTTTTCCCTTGGCTGTCCATGATAGTTTTAGGCATTTTCTCCAACTCCAAAATTTAAAAATGCCAATATTCGTCCTGTTGGAGCACTTGTTAGAAGCTAAATTCTTATACAGGCATAACATTTGCTGACAGCAAGATCCATAGTCCTTCTTCCCAAGCTTAATTAGAAGAAAACCATATAGAACCATTTTTTTCTTTACATGCCCCATTGTTTGATTTGTCAGTATATTAAGCTAGAAGTGCTATTGTATCACTAAAGTTTTATTTTCTTCTTTGCTACTATTATTGAACAGAATTTGCATATTTTAATTAAAATTTTAATACCAGAGAATAAAGGTGTCACATTAAAATTACAGTTAATTTCTGACCAATTAAATGTATATTTTCCCAAAATGATTTTTGCATTTTAAAAAATTATTTTTGTTATTTAGTTCTTATGATTGAGAACAAGGATACTGTTTATTTTACACTTTTTCATTGTCAATGTGATTTATTGCCCTTCAAATATACTTTGTAGATGTCAATTCAAATATAAATTCCACTGAGTGCAATTGAATTTTTTCCTAGGACTTTTTTGTTTGTTCTGCCAAACTCTATCCAGAGTCTGAGTGATGAATAAGACTGTATATCAGGGCTTTTGAGCATTGAAGAAACTTTCCAATACTCAGTAAGAAATAAGCCTGAATCCCTATGAAGCAGCTGATCATTTTAAGACTGGGCAATCCTTTTTCAGATGTAGGATGCATGATTCAGGACTCAATAAAATGTAATATCTCAGTCAGATTGATTCCTACTGTCTTACAGATATCTTCATAAGTCCAACAATGGAGATGTGGAATTTCGAACAACTGCTTATAATTGTGGTGATTGAAAGCATGTATATTTAAACCACTAGCAGTTTCTAAATTTTATGCCACATATTAGAAATTACAAGGGCTTGAATTGATGTAGTCCTGGGATTGTAGATAGTTTCCAGTGAAATGTCTAGGCAGCTTTTGTTTCCCTGGATCTGGAATGACGATTTCTACCCAAGCCGTCCATTGTCTATGTGGATAGGAAGAGTCCAGAAGTCCTTTTATTTCTGTATTTGTTGATTGCTTCTTTGCCTTGGTTCTTAGCTTGTTTCGGGACCCACTTCCTGATTTGTGTCCTGTAGGTTTTTATCTAGGTATTAGTTACAATGGATAAGTTTGAAATTAATTTCAGTGTAGATTTAATTTGTGAGGCAATGAGAAGAAGAATAGAGAAAGATGTGCTGGATACACAAATTGAGCCAATAGATGTTTTTCACTGCTTAAAAGAGATTAAAAGACAATTACTAAACCAAGAAGTGATTTGGATTTTTTTTTTACTGGATTTACAAAAGAGATATGTTAAAAATCTTGAAGGACTTTATGAGAAGTGATATGAAAAAGGGCAATATTTTGCTTATTAGATGTACAAAAGAGGCCTGATAAAGATTTGAAAGATTTTTGGGTTACAAAAAGGATGATCAGAAAACAGGTCCTGGGACTTCATTTGAAGGAGTTAAAAATTAAGATCATTAAAAATTCAGAGAAGGAATACATGTCAGCTTATTCATCAAAGTTAAAATAGAAAATTAAATGTTTTCCCTTACTGGATTTTTGCTGACAAAGAACAAATGACAAGACTTTTTGATTTTGTTCTTTAGTTAAGAGATGAATTATGGGGTGAAGGGAGTACATGCTATATTAAGAAATGCTGATAAACCATTAAAATTGTTTTTATTTGTTGGAATGAAAGGGGAAGTTACTTTTTTTCTTTTTTTCTTTTTAATGTCTTTTTTATATTTCTCTCTCTCTCTATATATATATATATATTTAATTTGCATTAATTTTTATTTTCTACTTGTACCTCTTAATAAAATTATTGAAAAAAAGCACTGTTGCCTTTGCTTTACCTAATAATCAATTATCTTTACTGACAAGTTAAGCAAGTGAAGAGTGACATTTTTTAAAGCATGAACTTTCACTTCTGCATCAAAACAGTTGAACTTTTCCAATAACTGCTTCTTCTCTTCTGTGGTTTTGGATATATAGGAGACTTGACTCAAATTTTGGGGCTGCAGTAATTGTTTTATATAAAGCAGAGAATTATGGCATTGTCTTAATGTACTTGAATCAGAATGACAGACTGTGAAATAAAGTTTTTCATTTCATGTGGATGGTCCTACCTGATCGAACTACCAATTCACCAGCTGCCACAATGATTACTTTGTGTATCACAGTGGAAATCTTTACTGAAAATTACAAATGGTCCAAGCTGAAAACCTTGCCTGCTAACCTTGCCTCTTCAAGAGATTTGTGCTTATATGCATCTCTTGACAAAACTGTCACTGAGAGAGGAATATTATTCCCCAACCATGCCATCCAGGCTGCCTTCATTTCAGTTTGCAGTAGCTGACACTTCTCCCTGAACGATTTTTTAAAGTGTCTGTATTTGACATTAGGAAATATTGTCATGCAGAGCAAAAGTTTTAATGCTAATAACAAACAAGAGATGCTAAGTATACCATATAAAGTCACCAGAGGTGGTATTCAACAGGTTCTGACCAGTTGTGGAGAACCGGTAGTGGAAATTCTGAGTAGTTTGGAGAACTGGTGGTAACCTTCCCCCAGGAGTGGGGAGGGAATGGAGATTTTGCAGTATACTTCCCCTGCCACACCCACCAAGCCACACCCACCAAGCCATACCCCCGCCCACCAAGCCACGCCCACAGAACCAGTAGTATAAAAATTTGACTCCCACCTGATAGTCACGTAAGAACAATTAGCCTCACTCAGGATTCAATGAACCTGTTTTAGAGATGTGTATGTAACCTCTGCCTATGTGGTCTCCTGGAGCCCTATTGGAATGAAAAGCTGCAGAGGTTTTCTTTGTTATAACAGTATAAAAACAATTTAGTAAATATAGGGTCAAGTGGTCTAAGTAGGTAAACCAGACTTCTTCAGTCAAGGAAGGTTATGCTGATCTCATTTTGAATTTATATTTAACCAGTTCAAATGCCTGTCCGTTTTTTTCAAGGTACTGATTACAGAACCTCAATTATCACTTTATAGCAACTCAATTGTAGGCAACAGAATAGCAGCAGCAATTGGGAAGTAAAACGTGCAGTTTAGAATCAGAGTTTGACAGTTAATATGGCAAATAAATATAACCAGAAATATAGAAATTGGCTCTTTTTTCCTTTATACAGTAATTTAGCTAAAACAATATATCAGTGCAATTTACCATATTCATTGTGGTAGCAGTCCATAATCATTATAAATCTTTTATTATTCCGGTATCACCTTCCTAGCAACAACTCTACATTTCTCTTTGGCTGAAGACTCTGCCCTTCTGTGGCTGAACCGAACATTTCATGAGGGCACTTCTGCCAATCTGAAAATTTAATCAATTATTATTTGTTTCTAATATAAAACTATATACAAACTATGCAAGCAAAACTTCCTTTTTGGTGCCCTCTGTCAGTCTTGGCTGATATAGGCAAGTCTATCATGGCATAGGCAAATATATCAAGTTCAGAAGTGGCTTACCATCTACAAGAACCTTTATTCCTCCCTTACTGAAGGGAATCGTTAACTTGTAGATGACTTGATGTATTCTACTGTAGGTTTGACAGGAGATCACTGTCATCTACCTCTACCTTCCCCACCTCAAATAGACCAACAATAGCCAAATCTCCTTACATCTATCTTTCTGGCCTGGCACCTTTGGTGATCTTAGAAAAAGATGTGTGAGGTCTATTTAATAGTTAAATGTTCAGAAAACCACCAGGGCCAGACCAAGTAACTCCTTCCTACTTGAAACCCTGTGCTGAACAACTGCCCCCCCCCTTCACCCGCATCTTTAATAAATCACTAGAGGTATGTTATGTCCCTCTTGCTTCAAATGTTCTACTATCATCCCGGTTCCCAAGAAACCCTTCATCAAAGAGCTGAATGACTACATATCAGTTGCTCTGACATCTATAGCTATGAAAATCTTTGAGAGTTTAGTGCTGGCCCACATGAAAATCATAATGGATCCTCTGTTATACTTGTTGCAGTTTGCCTACCAAGCAAATAGATCAGCAGATGATGCTGTCAACATGGCACTGCACTACACCTTGCAACATCTTGAATCTTCAGGGATCTATGCAAAGGTCCTTTTTGTAGACTTTTGTAAAGTTTTGAGGTTGGGTTGCTATCTGGCTTGCTATCATTTGGAGGAATTTCTTCCTAGTAAATGTTATACCTGTTTCTCATCCTTGTTTATATAGACATGTTAGTATGACACGGTTGCTCTTTTTATGATACTTAGTAGCAAAACACAAGCACTATTCTATAAGTATCTTTTCAATGCTTTATAGATCGCCCTGATTTAACTATGCTAGTGGGATTGGAAATTGTCATTAACCAAAGAGGTCATAATTTTTTTAAAAAATCACTTGACCACGCCACTTATTGATGACAGTTTTAGCAGTCCTGGTTGCTGTCTTTAAATGAGAACCTCATATGATCACAACTTCTGACTTTCTGTTGGCTTCCCTATTAGCTTTGCTTGTGGGAAGCTGGCAAAGAAGGTTGCAAATCACTATCGCATGATCACAGGACTGCTGCAATGGCCATAAAAATGAGGTAGTTACCACTTGTTCAGCACCATCATAAGTTTGAATGGTCACTGAATGAGTGGTTGTTAAAAGAGGACAATCTATATTGAATTATTACATATTTTCAGAATCTATTCCAGAATATGCAAAAGAAAAATTAATAACAGGCAGTCTTATTTTATCTACGTTCTTATGATAAAAGCACAGAAAAGACTGCTTGTCAACTTTTTTTTAATAGGGACTTCGTACACCAATGCTTCGCTGTCCATCACAAAGATTGTTGGATCGAATAGTGCGGCGATATGCTGAAGTTCCAGATGCTGGTAGTGTCTACATGGACCATTTTACAGACCGGGATAAACTACGTCTCCTCTACATGTTGTCTATTAACACTCATCCCATTATTTTACAGGTATATTGGCATCTGCTTTCATGTAATATAACTCATCCTTTGGAAGTCCCATTTCAACTCACTTTGAGGTATGAGAAAAGTTATGAATTGGTTGGATAATCCTTGTGCTGGATTCAGAAATGTTTTCTAGGGCATGAGATTCTATTCTCTTTGTGGTACAAGTTAAAAATGGCTATTCGTTTGTGTGATTAAACCCCACCTATTTTGACTCTTGCAAAGTTCAGGCCTCCCCAGGTTTGAGTGCTTAAAATACCAGATTTACAATTTTTAATATACAGCCAGTACTGCCAATTATTAGAGGCAATCAGAGCTGTAGTTCAGCAAATTTAGGGCCCCAAGGTGAGGACACCTGTGTTAAATCATATCCATGCTCTGAGAATTAAATGGACACAAACATTATTTTTAATCTAATGGATGGATTTGTGCTTAAATGTGCTCTAGCTAATGTACAATTCATTTTCTACAGCAGAGTTCTCAACATTTTTTTTATCACAGACCCCCTTTAAATACCTTTTGTGGCCACAGACCCCCAAGACTTCATTAAAGATTTAAATCATAACATTTCTTCAAGCTTTCATGGACTCCCTGTGGCAACATCACAGCCCCCTTGGAGTCTGCGGACCACAGATAGAGAACCACTGTTCTACTGTATTCATATTCTACAACAGGAACCCCTGATCTGCAGTCTGGTACTGGGCTGCAGGCCATAGGGAACTGGGCCATGCAAGCAGTTTGCAAGTGTGCAAGCATGCAAAGCTCCATTTGCACAAGCAGTGGGCACAGATGTTAAACCATTCCCTCTTTTCCCTGCTGCTGCTGCTGGTGGTCCACAGAGCCAGGAAGATTGGGGACCACTGTTCCACAACCATGCATGATTTCATGGCTCTTGCCTAGAAATGGAAATTGTTAGATCGGGTATGAAAGAGATGTGAGACCAGTGTACTTCAAGCTCTTTATTTCATGTATAGATCTGTACAAGATCTTGGAGCTGCAGCAGCCCTTCATATAGGGATTGCTCGGGGCTTGCCGGCCAATGACAGGTCCTTGAATCTCCCGCGATCGGCTCGGCCAATCGCAGTTGATTCCTAGCGAACCAATCACTGCCGTTTAGTTGACCAATCATAATGCTGTACGTGTGGACCAATCAGAAGTCAGTATTTGGAGTATGTTAATACAGAACAGAAATTATTAAATTGTCTGAGACCAGACAAGCTATTATCAAAGGGTCAAGGAGTTTTAATTGAAGAGATGTAAGGTTTAAACCTTGGGGCTATTATAAACAGAGGGCTTGATTGTTTGACTCTGCAATAGCTGATCTTCATTATCAGGTCTTAATACCCCCACACACACCCAGAAAGCTACTAGTTCTTTTTTTTTAACAGTTTATTTATACATTTTCACTTAACATACATAAGTGCTTGGTGAACAGCGTATTATCTGGATCATTTTGCTTATATAATAATATTTTTCCCGCTCCTAATTTCTTCAAAGCTACTAGTTCTTGAATGAAGATGTATTGAAAGATGTATTGATGAACCCTGGATGAAATCCTGACAGCAGGCTCATTTATTGCTACTACTCTCAAGAAAGGAAAAATGCACTAAAGAAGATTCAGGACACTCAGACTGCACACCATTCTTGAATGGAGAACTGTATCAATGCTTATAGATGATATATCTACAATGGCCAGAATGTTCCAGAATTACACTATATAATAATGCAGGATTTTAGCTATCTTGACATCAAGTGGGAATCAAGTGGGATATGCCAGAGATTCTGGACAGGCCTTGCAAAAAACTTCATCTTTCAAAAGGTGGAAAAAAGAAATTGGAGGATCAACTATATTGGATTTGATATTTAATAACAGGGAAAAAGTGGTTGAAGAAATGGAAATGTTAGGAATTTGGGGAGAGATTGATCATTTCACCATACAGTGAACATCTAAAACATATAAAGCTGACTTTAAAAAGTTAATGAGAAAAGTAGGAAGAATTCCTTGGATGAAAATCCTGAAAGGCAAAATGGGAGAAATTCCAAGAAAGGAGAGAGAGAAATTCTAAGAAAGGAGAGAGAGAGAGAGCTGGTTACACCTAGATCTTCTGTCTGGTAAACTGAAAAACAAAAAGGAGACATTTTAAAAATACAAAGGAAATAGTCCAAATCTTCAAGGATGAGTTCAGGAATGAGGAACCTAAAATTATGTAACATATCGAATGTTTTTCTAGGAACACGCTCCATGTGGTATTATAATAAAGATTTATAATTTAGTATAATTTAATTGAAATTTAGTATTGCACTGTAGTTTGTATGGAATCTAAATATTGACACTGACTTGTAATAATTATTTGATTAATGATTTAACATTAATTATTTAATATATTAATACTTTAAGCAATACTTTTTTCAAACCCTTTGGTAATTAATGTACTGCATAATTGTATTCACAATGAATAAGTGAGTAAATGAAATACATTCGCTACATTTAATAGTAAAGAAATTTAATTTAATATTTTATTCACAAATTTAACTCAAAAAATTTTAAATTTGCACTTTACACTGTCCTTTAGTTTGCTTGATTTTCTCGCAAGCTTGTAATGACTTAGAAATGACTTAGAAAACATACAGTAAAGAAGACATCTGAAAAAGAATAACTACTAAATTGCAGCAGTGCGGCACTTTTCTCTTTCAGCACTGGAATCTAGTGATCATTTGGATTTTACCACCCAGCCATGGTAGCCCTAATAAAATTATACCCAAAGAATAACCAGTATATTCCTTGATTACACTAGAATTAATCTTTTTTAACCAGCAGGGCAATGGAGTGGAAATGCATGATATCAGGAGGCTATTAGCATGGGGAAATCTAGTAAAATAAGTCCATGTCATCATGGATACACTTCACATTTCCTTTTTTTTTTTTTTTGACAGATTTTCCCTGGAGCAGAAGGATGGCCCTTTCCAAAGTATTTGGGATCTTGTGGTCGACTAATAGTAACGACCAGTACAAGACCTATGAAGGAATTTTATGGCTCATCATCTGATGTGACAGCGGATTTAGCTCTTCAGCTCCTCACTATTATTGATTTCATGATGAATAATGACCTGAACTATTTCTTCTACTTTACTCATGTTGATGCTGACACATTTGGTGTTTTCACCAATGGACAACTCTTTATCCAGGATGCCAGCATGCTAGGAGTCATTGACAAACAAGAAGGTATTTAGATGCAAAAATAATGTCACAAGTTAGGAGGCACTATGGGAGAGGAATGAAACTAGTTAACAGAGATATGCAAAAACCATTGTGTAAGCAAAGGAGGTGTAAACATTTTAAAGCCTTGAGAAACAAAATAATATTCCAAAGTGAAGCAGTCAGATACCTCCCTGAAGTAAGAAGTGGTGGTGGGGAAGACAAGTGTATAGGGCACTCAGACTTGCAGGGTTCTGTTATTATTGCCAATCTTGACAAAGATAATTCTAGTTTTCCTGTAGAATCAGTTTCCTGGTCTGGTCTGTCCAGCAGAACTGACAGGTGAGCTGAAAATACATTCAATTCACTTTTTCTTCAGCTTAACTCACATAATGATAAGCCAATTAACTAACTACATAGGCAGAAAACAGTGTCAAAATGAGCATGTGACAGATTATAAATATTTCTGATGAAGCCCGATTGAATAACAGATTGTCAAACTAGATGGCATTGTATATTATCTTTAGTAAAGTTTTCTTATGATGCTTCAAAAAATAATGATAAAAGTAAGACAAATAATTAGATTTATCATTTGTTAAATAAATATATAAATGAAAAAACTGGAGCAATGTCAAAGTCAACATTGCATATGCTTATAAGAAGGTATTTCCTTATAAGATGATATTTTAGTGTTATTTGTTTGCTTGTTATACTTATAGCCTATTGCGATCCATACTTTCTTAGCAATATTGATATCAGGGATATGTTTTTTGCCAAATAGCTTTAAAACTTTTGAGTGCTTTTAGATTTTTGTATTGTTTTATTTATTTGTTGCTGGCTTTTATTTTAATGTTAGATTATACTGCATTACTTTTTTACTCTTTGTTCTGATTTATTTCAATTTTATTCAACATGCATTTATTATCATAGTTACTGACTTTTATATTTTAAATTTCTCTGTGCTTTACCCACTGAAAATTATTGGGTGCCTAGTAAACATAATAACAATATAATTATGGTTTTTTCATTCTTTTTAATAGGCAGAGACTTGATGAATAGACAACAAGAATACAAGGATATATTTAGCTGCTTAGCTGTGGATTGTGAGCCTGTGTTCCCTTCCTGTAGTTCCATCAAGGAAAGCCAGAACCTCGTCATGATATGTGGGAAACTTTTGCCCAATCTCTTAAAACAAAAATTCCCATCACCTCTGCAGGAGAAGATTAACAGCGCTTTAAGTATCTGTGCAGACAGCTTTCTTTCTGACCAAGAGATTATCACAGCATCTCAACTGCTAGTAGCCATTTTGAAACCTCTGCAGATCTGCGATTCCCGCTTTGTTTACCGATATCCTGATTGCAAATATAGCACAAAACTCTAAATGAATATTTTCTTGGAATCTTTGGGCTATAAACTACATGCTTTGGCTGTGGAACCATCAAATTTTTCAGAACATTAGCACTAGGATTTGTGTTGGACATTCACTGTCTTCCAGATTAAAACTCCATGGCTATTTGGTTGACTTTTTGAGGACTCATAAAGAATTGTAACATCCATGTGATTACATATATCAAACCTACATATTATTGTTCTTATTCTCTCATTTCATATTTATTTCTGTTATTGAATTATTTCAAGAAGATGTATTTCTCACAAGGTAGAGAGCCAATGTATTTTTTTAAATTGATTCTTTCTTAAGTTGCTTCCTATCCATTCTATTCAATGATTCAAAACCCAATTCCAAATGATTTTATATGAGATTATTTATTCTATTCAGGATAGCAATCTTCCCATTCTACTTATAAAAGTGGGGGAGAGGGGAAGCCAAACAAAACCCTATATTAGAATAAACCTACACTTGATGTACAGCACTGCCATATTTTCTACATTAGTCCTCAACATTAGTCCATTCATTTAGTACCTGTTCAAAGTTATAACTGCACTGATAAGAATAACAATCCACTTCATACTTATTGCAGCATTCTCAGGACCACATGATCCCAATATGGGTGCTTGGCAACTGGCTCACATTTACAGCAGTGGCAATGTCCCAGGGTCACTTGCAGCCTTCTCAGCTTCTGACAAGCAAAGTCAATAGGGAAGCTGTCAGGGAAGATTGCAAATCATGGTCATTTATTTTTTATTTATTTTATTTATTTATTTTTGTCAATTGCTTGGAAGATAATAGGTATAAGTAAAAACATAGTTATGAATACATGGATACATATAAGAAAAATAAAAGAAATAAAAGAAACAATAGGACAGGGACGGTAGGCACATTGGTGCACTTATGCACGCTCCCTACAGACCTCTTAGGAAAGGGGTGAGGTCAATAGTAGACAGTCTAAGGTTAAAGTTTTTGGGGTTTGGGGAAGAAACTACAGAGTCGGGTAGAGTATTCCAGACATTGACCACTCTGTTGCTGAAGTTGTATTTCCTGCAATCAAGTTTGGTGCGATTAACCTTGAGTTTGTATCTATTGTTTGCTCTTGGGTTGTTATGGTTGAAGCTGAAGTATTCATTGACATGTAGGACATTGCAATGTATGATTTTATATACTATACTTAGATTGGACCAAAGGCAGCATAGTTCTAGGTTTTCTAGGTCTAGAATTTCGAGTCTGGTGGCATAAGGTATTCTGCAATGAGTAGAGGAGTGGAGAACTCTTCTTGTGAAATATTTCTGGACTTTCTCAACTGTGTTAATATCAGATACATAATGTGGGTTCCAGACTGATGAGCTGTATTCGAGTATTGGTCTAGCAAATGTTTTGTATGCTCTAGTAGTGTTAGTAGTGTAATATTACCAGAGAAAAAGCTACATAATATTAGGTTAACAACTCTTAACGCCTTTTTGGCTATGTAGTTACAGTGGGCTCTAGTACTTAGATCATTAGAGATGAGTACTCCAAGATCCTTGACAGAGTTTGGATCATCAACAAGGTCTTGACTATTCAGCTTGTATTTTATTTTCTGATATTTTTTTGCCAATATGTAGGACAGAGTATTTATTTGTTAAGATTTGAAGTTGCCATTTGTTTGACCATTCTGATACATAGTCAAGGTCTTTTTAAAGGGTAGCAGTATTGTCTGTGGTGTTGAATAGCTTTACATCATCAGCGAAGAGAACGCAGATGCTCTTGATATGATCACAGAGGTCATTTATGTAGTGTATGAAAAGAGTTGGTCCTAGAACACTGCCTTGGGGGACACCACTGTTGACAGGTACAGAATTTGATAGGACGCTCCCAATTTTGACCATTTGTTGCCTGTTTGACAGGAATGCTTCTATCCAGTTATGCAGGTGTCCAGAGATACTGTAAGATTTTAGTTTTTGAAGTAGTTTGTTGTGTACCACTGAATCAAAGGCTTTGCAGAAGTCTATGTAGATTGCGTCTATTGCTTTGCCCTGATCGAGTTTCGTAGTCCATATGTTTTTGCAGTGTAAGAGTTGCAGATTACATGATAGTTTTTTCTTGAAACCAAATTGTTTATTAGAGAGTAGGTTGTTTGTTTCTAAGTGGAGGATGATGGATTGGTTAATAATTGATTCCATGACTTTACAGGTGATGCAGCATAAAGAGATTGGTCTGTAATTTTCAACTAGGCTGAGATGTCCCTTTTGAAGATGGGGATGACCATGGCTTGTGACCATAGTTTTTGTCAAGGAGCTGGTCCTGAAAGATTTTTCAAAGATTATGTTTAGAGGTTCAGCCATGGCAGTGGATAGCTTTTTTAAGAAGTAGGCACATATTCTGTCCGGTCCAATACATAGAGATGGTTTTAGATTGCGTAGTGCTTTTTCAACATTGTCTTCTGTAATATCAATATGTATTAGATCATTGTAGTTGTCTGTGGTTCGACTAGGAAATACTGGGCATGATCCATTGCTGTAGAGATGAGATGAGATTTTGGTCTAGAGGAATTATGGAGTATAATTAAAAGAGCAAAATGGAGGTAGTGTTCTCAGGTTTGATAAGGAAGATGGGAAAAACCAGAATTTAATTTCAGTGAATACATTTAGAAAGCTGTTTCTAATGAATTATCTTTGGTAACAATAGAAATGGTTTGATGATTATTTTTAAAATCAGGGGTGTTAAATGGCGGCCTATGTACCGGATGCATCACATGCAGGCCATGTCCATCCCGGCTCCACAAAGGTAAAAAAAAAGGCATGTCACGTGACATCACATGATGCAATCAAGTTTGACACATGTGAACTAAGGAATAATCCAAATTCATGGAGCAATCAATCATGCAAAATCAGTGCACATGAGAGCGGGATGATAGTGTCAGGTTTTCAAACTAGGGCTATGGGAATGCCTCCACTTAAGAGTAGTCACTTTAATGAATGATGGGGCCACAGGGCCTGCACAGCTTATATCGCCTGAAGTTTGCTGCCATTCTGTACCACCTACCTCTGAAGTTGCTATCTTTCACTGTCTCCTGGAAGAACCTTTTACCCCTGAAAGCTATGATTGAGCCTTTTTTCCATCCTACTTCTGCTATACTGAAACTTACTTCTTATTACTTCTAAAAATGCAAGAAACCAATTCTATATAAGTGAAAAAGGTTCCAGGACATGGACTGTGTGCACAATTATTAAGCAAGCTGTATTTTTGAGGATTAATTTTATTATTGAACAACTACAGTGTTCTCAGTCAATCCAAAATATTAATAAACCTCAAATATATATTTAAAAAAGTAAAAGTTATTGCTTTCTTAGGAGAATATGTGTGCATACTTATTGGGCAACTATTAGTGTGCAGAATTATTATGCAATTAAATGGAAAATGAAAAATTTCCCATCTCACTCATTTATTTTCATCTGTAAAAGTAACAATAATAAACAACTCAAAATTTACAAAGAAACATTTATGACAGTTCAAAAAAAAAAAAATCTGTGACCAATATAGCCACCCTTCTTTTCAATAACAGTCATAAGCCTTCCATTCGTGTAGTCTGACAGTGTCTTGATCTGTTGATGATCAACTTTTTGTGCAGCAGCAACCACAGCCTCCCAGACATTGTTCAGAGAGGTGTACTGTTTTCTTTCACCATAAATCTCCCATTTAAGAAGGACCCACAAGTTCTCAATAGGGTTTAGATCAGGTGAGGAAGGGGGCCATGTCATTATTCTTTCATCTTTAAGGCCTTTACTGTCTAGCCACACAGCAGAGTATTTTGATGCATGTGATGGAGCATTGTCCTGCATAAAAATCATGGTGGTCTTGAAAGATGCAGACTTTTTCCTGTACCACTGCTTGGAGAAAGTGTCTTCTAAAAACTGGCAGTAGATTTGGGAGTTGATTTTGAGTCCATCTTCAACCTGAAAAGGTCCAACTGGCTCATTTTTAATAATATCAGCCAATACCAGTACCGCTCCTCCACAGTGGTGGTATTCAGTCAGTTCACACTGGTTCAGACGAAGCTGTAGCAAAGA